TGTTTTCCTCTATTTCTTTGCATTGATCACTGAGGAAGGCTTTCTTATCTCTCCTTGCTATTCTTTGGAACTCTGCATTCAAATGGGTATATCTTTCCTTTTCTCCTTTGCCTTTAGCTTCTCTTCTTTTCTCAACTATTTGTAAGGTCTCCTCAGACCATTTTGCCTTTTTGCATTTCTTTTTCTTGGGGATGGTCTTGATCACTGCATCCTGTACCAGTGTCATGAACCTCTGTCCATAGTTCTTCAGGCACTCTGTCTATCAGATCTAATCCCTTGAATCTATTTGTCACTTCCACTGTATATTCCTAAGGGATTTGATTTAGGTCATACCTGAATGGTCTAGTGGTTTTCCCTACTTTCTTCAATTTAAGTCTGAATTTGGCAATAAGGAGTTCATTATCTGAGCCACAGTCAGCTCCTGGTGGTGTTTTTGCTGACTTTATAGAGCTTCTCCATCTTTGGCTGCAGAGAATGTAACCAGTCTGGTTTTCGTATTGACCATCTGGTGATGTCCATGTGTAGAGTCTTCTCTTGTGTTGTTGGAAGAGGGTGTTTGCTATGACCAGTGCATTCTCTTGTCAAAACTCTTAGCCTTTGCCCTGCTTCATTTTGTACTCCAAGGCCAAATTTGCCTTGCCACATATCTCTTTATTTCCTACTTTTGCATTCCAGTCCCCTTTGATGAAAAGGACATCTTTTTTGGGTGTTAGTTCTATAAGGTCTTGTAGGTCTTCATAGAACCATTCAACTTCAGCTGCTTCAGCTTTACTGGTTGGGACATAGACTTGGATTACTGTGATATTGAATGATTTGCCTTGGAAATGAACAGAGATTATTCTGTCGTTTTTGAGATTTGCATCCATGTACTGCATTTCAGACACTTTTGTTGACTGTAGGGCTACCCCATTTCTTCTAAGGGATTCTTGCCCACAGTAGTAGATGTAATGGTCATCTGAGTTAAATCCACCCATTCCAGTCCATTTTAGTTCGCTGATTCCTAAAATGTCAATGTTCACTCTTGCCATCTCCTGTTTGACCACTTCTAGTTTACCTTAAGTCATGGACCTAACATTCCAGGTTCCTATGCAGTAGTGTTCTTTACAGCATTGAACTTTACTTCCATCACCAGTCACATCCACAACTGGATGTTGTTTTTGCTTCTGGAAGCATCCTTCTTCTAGGAAGAAGAAAGAAATTTCTGGAAGAAAACCTCCATAACATTCAGCAGTCAGGGGGTCACATGCCTTCTCTGAGCCTCAGTTTCCTCGTCTGTGTAATGGGAGGTGTGAGTGATATGAAGACACCCCCCTACCCCATTTCCAGATTCCCCTATGGCTCCCCGTGGGCCTCAGCCAGACCCCTCCGCCCTGATCCCACCATCTCTCTGCTTGACCTTTCTGCCTCTCCCACAGATCTCAGGTACCCTGCCCCTAAATGCTCACACATGTGGTTCCCCTCCCTCTGGGGTGGCCCCCAGCCCCTGTAGCCTCTGCAGAGCCCCCCAGGAAGTCTATGAGAACCAACAGGTAAGGGGTAGGAGTAGGGCCAGATGGAGGGAATTATGTGGTGGAAGCTTAAGGTGTGTGTGTCAGGAAGTGGTGTGCTGGAGTGTTTCTGATGGTCCAGGTTGGGGGATATCTGGGGCTGGAATGACTGATGGTGGCAAAGAGAGAGACAGACACAAAAAGAGAAAAGAGAGGGAGGGAGAGACGTAAAGAAGAAACACAAAGACACACACACAAGGAGAGAAGAGAGACAAGGACAGATAGACACGGAGACAGACAGGAAGAGTCAGATGGACAGACAAGACCCCAAGATGGATGGAACACTTAGAGGAGGCAAAAGGTAGGGATCCAGAGCCTAGAAGGAGGTGGGCCTGGGGTGGGGGGGGAAGACTGTGGCATTCCCTGGACCCCCAGAAGCCCCACCTGTCCCCCTCTCCCCCCATCAGTTGGGAAGCCTCATCAGAGGAGAGCCCAGGTAAGGAGTGAGTGTCCCATCTCCAGAGGCATGCAAGCCCCCAGGGTTGTCAGAACCAGATCAGGTCTGCTGTGCACATTCTGGGAAGCCCCCCTACCTCCCTGGGTCGTCTGCTCCTGCGAGCGCACACCCCCGCCCCCAGGACCCCACAAGCCGGGCAGCCAGGGCTGCAGCACTGGAGCGAGCCGAGGACGCCCGCGTTGCCCACCATCGTGGGTCCACCCCGGTCTCCGCAGGCTTCGTGAGCTTTGACAACCCAGCCAGCGCGCAGACTGCCATCCAGGCCATGAATGGCTTTCAGATCGGCATGAAGAGGCTCAAAGTGCAGCTGAAGCGGCCCAAAGACCCGGGACACCCCTACTGACCGGGCCCACAGCCACTCAGAGGCTGCGGGCTTGGCCCAGGTGAGCCGCTAGGCGGCCCCGCCCCTGCCCCGCCCCCACCCCGTCTTGTCCGCACCCTCTCCTCATTCTCCAAATCCTCCCCAGGCTGGGGGGATGCTGCAAGAGGCTTCAGGGAGCCCCTTCAACCCCCTACCCCCACCCTATGGTCAGGGCTGGAACCGGAGCAGTAAGATGGGGGTGGGAAGGGCAGTTAGGGAATCTTTCCTGGAGAATGCTTTGAAGGATGAATAGTTCACCTGAGAGGTGGGCATGGTCTGGGTTGAGGCAGGCCATGGGGAGGGGCTTTTGTTCTGTCCTAAAAATCAGTTCTCCCTGCTAAGCCTCTTTGGGAGCCCTTCCTTTGGCATAATTCACACCCAGTGGGTTGATAAGAGAGTGGAATGTTTGCCCCACCCAGGGGCATGCCAGGGGTGAGGGTGGGGGGGAAATCCCCAGAACAAACGAACAAATCCCCTAATGTCTGCACCATCAGAGTGAACGACCCTGTCAACTCATCACTTCTTTGGAGGCATGAACCATGAGCCTCCAGGGCCAGTGGGGAAACATAACTGTGCTCCAGCCTCCACAAGCCTCATCTGTGAAATGGGCTCATGCACGTGGCCTCCCCCAGAGGCTGCAGGGTGGATTCACACGGGGCACTTGGTGTTTTTCCAGCTGGGCCCAGGACCCGCCACCTGGAAAGCTCTTGATAACTTATTTCGATTTTTCTCCACTAAATCCACCGTTGCCGCGGTCATCACAGAGGCTCCCCACCTTGGGGTCTGGTGTGAAGTATGTGTTCAGTGAGGGTCTGCTTCCAGACCCTCTGCCAGGGCAGCACCCACAGATTCGAGGGTGTTCAGCACCCACAGATTCAAGGGTTGTGGGTCTTTGGGGGCATGCTCGGAGACCCGCCACCGGAAGCCAACATCTGTGATCCGCGCGCTTTGAACACTCTGACAGCAAGTCTTTACTAAGCACCTACTGTGCACCAGGCACTGTCTCCAGCGCCACGAGTGAACAGAAATGGGGGCGGGGTGCTGCTTCGTGGAGCGACAGGGAGCCGGGGAGAGGAGACGGAAAGAAATATTTGTGCCTGGTGGCCAGACGAGGACACGGGGCTTAGCGACCCCTCCAAGCCGTGTGTGTCAACCTCCAAACCCCCAAATGGACTCTTTCTGCAAAGATAGGGGTCCTTGGGGTCCCAGATCCCAGTCTGGCCAGGGCAGGGGAGTGGGTGGGAGGTGATGTGTCGGCCTTACGTGCCCACCCTCCCCCTCTCTTCACGCGGCGCCCTAACGCCCCTCCCTTCTCCGCCAGGTGAGGGGCCTTCCCACCCCAGGAGGGTTTCCCGCTTCCAACTGATCCAGGACTTTTCCGTAAATTACAACAGAGTTTGGACACCAGCCCCCTCCCCTCCTCTCCCTTCTCCCCTGCTCCCCTCCCCAAAATGTGAAACGCTGCCCAAGGCCCCATGGAGTGGGGAAGGGGCTTCATGGTCTTCGGGGGACTCCTGAGGTGGGGGCCAAGGATTCATTCCCCCCTCCACGGAGATTTCCTCGCTTCCACCCCTCTTCCCACACACACAACCTTCATGGTTTCCCCAAACGAAATCGCAACTTTTCCTATATATATATATGCATATATATATAGAGCTATAGACAGTATATATATTTTTTGAGTATAGATCATGGGACCAAACTTTTCCGACTTCTTTCCATCCAAGAGAAGGTGACCCTGGGCCAGTCACCCAGCAGGGATGCTCAGAAGGGCTGAGGCTGGTGGGGCAACCCAGTGTCCCCCCACCTCCCGCTGTCATGTCAGACCAGGGGGCCGGTCAAGCACTGGGAATCAGCCAACGAACGCTATATACCTCCAGGACTTTTGACCCCCCCGCCACCGATAATTCTTGTGGGCTTGAGGGCTCAGCCGGCTTCAGTGTCCCTGGTCCTAGCTGCAGCTTCCTGAGCCCCCTCCCCCGTGTCCCAGGGCCCTGCCTTCTCCGGATGTAGGCACAAAAGAGACCCCTTGGCCTCCCCCTCCTCCTCCCCCCACCCCCAGTCATAGCCTTACTCATGTGGCCAATAGCCCTTAGCTTTCCGTCGGGGGCAGACAGGGCCGGGGGAAGCCCCCCCAGCCCTTGAGCCCCCTCCCAAGGGCAGGCAGCCACCCTCCCTGCCTTTGGATCACCAGCCTGGAATTCACAATGTCATGACCAAGATCGCCACGTGCACCGGAGGAGCCCAGTGTGCGCTGGCCCAGCACCCCTTCACCGGAGATACCTCTACAAAGATTTTTTTTTTTTTTTTTGGTCTTTCTGAGCAGGTACAAAGAAGAAAAGAAATGGGGGGAAAAGCAAATGACAATGGATTTATTTTGTTTCCTAGTTGGGGCGGGGAGGGATATCCCGTGGGGCGCCTCTGTATAGCTACTCAAACCGTGAAAACCCCCCTTGAAGCACAGAGTCAAGTTCTTTTTTTTTTTTTTTATTGGACATCCGGTGGGGCCTCACGCCAGAGGAGGCACCAGAGAACTTCATAAGCTCAAGAGAAAAAAAAATTTTTGAAAAGGAAAAAAAAAAAGCATTCCCTTTTGTTTCTACCAAAATGTGTTGACGGACCCAGAAAAAAACAAAAAAGCAAAAAAAAAAAAAAAAAAAAAAAAAAAAAAAAAAAATAGCAAAAAAAAAAAAAAAGAAGAAAAAAAAAAACCTCTTCTGACAAACCTGTTTCGATATTCCAGAGTTTGATAATTGTTCCGAGACCCTCTCTAGTGCGCCTGTGTTCTGTGAGTCTGCGTGTGTGTGCTCAGGGGTCACGGGGCCCCCGCCAGGCCTGCTTGGGACTGCGTGCCGGCTGCGGTGGTGTGTGTCCTTTGGTCCATGTTTACTGGCTGTAAATACCATTTTTATACTCCACATCAAAGACCGACGTGATTTGTACGATGTACTTTATTTCTGCTACGAGTAATTTCATGAAGTTTCAACTTGCAAAACTGACTTTTGGAGACAAACCGCCACACACACACACACACACACACACACACACACACACACACAAAGAGGAGAAAAAGACTTGGAGGGAACTTTGAGTTGACTTGCTTTGAATCTCGAGGTCCTTGTCACTGTGGCGTGTTTCAGGTGAGAAGCTGCAGTCATCACCTTCATGTCCAAAACGCCTCTCTTTGGTCTGGAGAAACTGAAAGTTTATTTAATAAAAGTTTTACTTGCTAAAGGACTGGGCCCACCCTCATTTGCCCTCCTCTCGTCGGTAAAGACCACGTGCTTCCGGTCAAGCAGGGTGCCTGGGTTAGAGATGAATCCGGATTTAGAGTGAGGGGTGTGTGGGAAGAAGGGTTTGATGTTCCCACGGCTGAATTCTGACAGAATCATCCAGACACTGAAGAAGTGGAGCGTTCTTTCTCAGGAAGAGCAGGTGGCCTAAGTTTGTTGATTCACACATTCGTTCATTCAACAAATGTCTACTGTTTATTGAATACCAACTGAGTGACTGTGGCTTCCTTGGTGGCTTAATGGTAAAGAATCCACCTGTGAATGCAGGGGATGAGGGTTCAATCCCTGGATAGGGAAGATCCCCTGTAGAAGGGAGTGGCAACCACTCCAGTTTTCTTGCCTGGGAAATACCCTGGTCAGAGGAGCCTGGCGAGCTACAGTCCATGGGGTTGCAAAGGGGTCGACACCACTCAGCGACTAGAACAGCAACAACTGAATGATTGACCCCATGCTGGCCATCAGGGACATAGCAGTGACCAGATGGTTCTGGGCTCTGGCCTCGAGGAGGCAGCCAGGGGTGGGGTGGGGGAGACACCGTACAATACATATTTTTGTAATTGGGGTAAAATTCACCATTTAGTGTACAATTCAGTGTCATTAAGTACATTCACAATGTTGTGCAACCATCACATCTCTCTAGTCTCAGACGATAGAGTTCATCACCCCAAAAAGAAGCCCTGTCCCCATGAACATTCACTGCCCAGCCCCTGACAACCAGGAACCCACTCTCTGTGGATTTGCCTGTTCTGGACGTTTCCCATCAAGGGAATCACACACTTGTGTATCCTCTTTTTCTGTTTTAAAAATTTTGTTGGGGATGTAGTTGATATAGTTTTAGTTTCAGGTGTGTAGCAAAATGACCTTGTGTCTTTTTTAAAAAATATATTTATTTATTTGGCTGTGCCGGGTCTTAGTTGCAGCACATGGGATCTTTAGTTGCGCCATTTGAAACTCTTAGTTTCAGCATATGGGACCTAGTTCCCTAACCAAGGATGGAACCCAGGTCCCCTGCATTGAAAGCATGGAGCCTGAGCCACTGGACCACCAGATAAATCCCATGGCTATGTGTCCTTTTGTGTCTGGCTTCTCACTGAGCATTGTCATCATGTTCTCAAGGTCTAGCCACATTGTAACGAGTGTCAGTGCTTCTCTTCTTTTTAAATCTGAATCATATTCCGGTCTGTGGATGGACCATTCATCCATTGATGTACATTTGGGTCTGCTTTCTGGTCACTATGAATTACACTACTGTAATTATTCATGTGTAAGTTTCTGTCTGAACACCTGCCTCAGTTCTCTAAGGTACATACCTAGGGGCAGAATTGTTGAGTCCTGGTCACTCTGTGTCCCCACCAGCAGCTCATGAGAGTTCCCATGTCTCCACATCCTCACCAATACTTGTTACACAACAGATTCAAATTGGAATGTGGAGGGAGAAATCCCCCCATTGGAGCTGAGGTAGTCAAGGACCCAGAAGTGTCCTGAAGAGGTGAGACCTGAAGGAGGTAAGATCCAAGAGAGGAATTGTCTTTGGCTGAAAAAGCACACATAAGACAGTCTGTAGACCCTGCCCCACTCCAGTGAAGTCCTCAAAGGTCCTAAAAAAAAAAAAAAAAAATTCCTGAGACCCGGGATGCAGAAGAGTGGGCTCCAGGGTAAGAGCCTGTAGTGGGGATGTGAGTAGAGGGGGTGACCACACCCAAGCTGAACCTTTCCAAATTCATGGGAGGGATACTAAACACTTAATTTAATGAGCTACTCATGTCCTGCCAGGGGCTTTGCAGAAACTATGTATTTTAATCTTATCAATGACTCCATTTTACAGTTGAGGAAACTGAGGCTCAGAGACAGGAAATGCTTGATCCAGCTCCAGCAGAGAGGCCCAGCTCGGGTGGGAGTTGAAGGTGAGTCCAACTTCACCTGGAAGGGTTTTCTGGATGGAAGGAACAGCCTGGGCAAAGGCTCAAAGGCTTGGGATATGATTTTTAGTTGGGCCACTGGCTAAGACCACAGCACTGGATGAAGAGATGGATGCAGAGGTGATGGGTTACAGAGTTTCTTTTGTGACTGAACACGTACCATGTGCTGGACCTTGTCTCTGCCCTCCCAAGTTGCAGTTGAGGAGAAAGTACTTATAAGACAAAAAAAAAAAAAAAAAATCAAAAGTACCCCATCCCCACAAGAAAAAGTAATTTGCAATGTGCTAAAAGTTGTAATCACAATGAGACCAACAAATCTGGGACATTACCTTTTTTTTTCTTTTGGCGATGGCACATGGCATGTTTGATCTTAGTTCTCCAACCAGAGACCGAACACATGCCTCCTGCAGTGGAGATGGGGAGTCCTAACTGCTGGATCACCAGGGAACTCCCTGAGGCATTATCTTGATGTCAGTAGGGAGTCACAGAGGATTTTGAGCAGGAGAGGGGTGTGATAGGACACCTAAGGTGACTTCTGTGCTGCTGTTGGGGTGTAAATTGGCATTCTGGAGAACAACTGGGCAGGGTAATATTTCTATCAAGCATTTATTAAGCACTTACTGTTTGCCAGGTGTTTTCTCAAGCCTATGTCATCCAATACAGTAGCCACTGGCCACCTGTGGCTATTTAGATTTCGATCAGTTTATCAATCTATAATTTCCTCAGTCACACTAAGCCACATTTCAAGGGCTCAAGAGCCACTTGTTCATCACTTCTGGAGTTCTCTTGGACGACACCAGTCTAAACATTGCACATGACAAAACCTGCCACAACCTTGTGAGGTGTGTCCTATCAATAGCCTCACTTTATGAGTCAGTAATCTGAAGCTCAGAGAGGTTAACTAACCTGCCCGAGGCTGCACAGCCAGAGGTAAACCCAGGATCTCAGGTCAGTCTCAACCATTGTGCCATCCCATTTCCCTGTCCTGTGTAGTGGCTGAAATGAGATGTGTTAGATCTTAGTTCAAGTTGTTATTTGAGATAGTACAATTTAAGCTTTTAAATTTAACTCAAAGTCATTAAACATTTAGAATGTGTGCCTGTACAATACAGCAGTTGTACCTGAGTATCTCCATAGGGTGACTTAGGGGTGTGCTTGGGATGGCTGAGTCTTGGTTGTGAGGTAGGATGTTTATCCTGGGAAAGTAGGCTAAGTGACATGCAGGGTGTATCAGTTAGCTGTTGCTGCATAACAAATATTCCATCTTCAAATTAGCTGCTAAAAACACCCCACACATTTATTATCTCACCCAGTTTCTATGGATCAGAAATCCAGGAGTAACTTAACTGAGTTGTTGTGGTTCAGGGTCTCTCACAAAGTCAAAGTTAAGACATCATCTGAGGCTCAACTGAGGCTGGAGGAGCTGCATCCAAGCTGGCACCCTCACATGGTTGTTGGCTGGAGGTCTCAGTTCATTACTGCATGGACCTGCCCACAGGGCTGCTCATGTCATGGCAGCTGGATTCTCCCAGAGAGCATGATCCAACATGGGGGAGAGAGAGAGCTAGAGAGAAAAAAGAATATATATATTTAGAACATTCTCTCTGGGGACATGTATATGATTGTAAGAATGAGAAGAAAAGGCTAGAAATATATTTACCAAAATACTGATGGGGGTGGTTTTGGGAAGTGAAGAATTGGAGGCCAAGATGAAGCAGAGTTGAACCTCAGCTGCAATCTTTACAAGGTGAATATATTATTATTTAAGAAATTAAGAATTAGTTTTAAATATTCTTTTTTAAAAAAGATTTTTTGATGTGGACCATCTTTAAAGTCTTTTATTGAATTCATTACAACATTGCTTCTGTTTTATGTTTTGGTTCTTTGGCCACAAGGTATGTGGGATCCTAGCTCCCTGACCAGGGATTGAACCCACAACCCGTGCTTTAGAAGGTGAAGTCTTAACCACTGCACTACCAGGGAAGTCCCCAAATATTCTTTTTTTGAAGATGAAAGAATGGAGATGACAGGTATGAGAGTTATTTGGGGGAAATACCTGCATTTAACTCAAGTGCTCCACTGTCCAGAGAGGCCCTCAGGGCAAGGAATGGGTGGGAAGGGGGGCCGCCTCCAGCCAACAGCCTGCAAGGAACTGGAGCCTCCTAGCAACCTCTTGGGCTTGGAAGCGGATCCTGCCCCAGTCAAGCTTTCAGATGAGACATCACACCAGCACAACACCTTGATTGCAGCCTGTGGGAGACCCTAAAGCAGAGAACGCAGCTAAGCACCCCTAGATTTCTGAGACTAGGAAATGGTTTAAGCCATGAAGTTTTAAGGTAATTCATCATGCAGCAGTGGTAAGTAACACATCAGCAAAAGCTCATCAACTATGACAGAGACTACTAAGTACCTGGAATAAACCTCAGAAAATGATAGAAACCTACAGAACCTATAGAAAACGTTTTCTGTAGACAGAAAACGATAAGATCTTACTGAAAGACATAAATGGAAAAGCAGACAAGTGGTGAACTGGGTGACAGAGGTACCTGGGGCAACTCACGATCTTAAGGGATCAGTTCTCTCCCAGATGAACCTTGAACTTCATCACAACTCAGATCCCTACAAAGTTTGCTTGGAACTGGATAGGCCAATTCTCAAATTCATGTGGATCATTGAATTGTAAGGGAAGTAAGGCTGGAATGTCCTGAGATGAATGGCTGTTTATTGAGCATATACTATTTGTCGGGCACAGTTCCCAGTGCACTATTAGGTTTAACTCATTTATCACCCCAGGAGGTGGGATCTCATTCACAGATGGGGGATACAGAGAGACTGGGTGACTGGCCACAGTCTGCCCACTGAACTGTGATAAAGAATCCACACAACCCTACAGAACAGAAAGACAAGTTATAAAACTATAGTAACTAAAATTATACATCATCAGTGCCTGTCCTGTTTTATTTGCTCTTCTGTTCCCTAGATCCCAGTACATAGTATCTGCTCACTGACTGTCCTAAAATTA